GACATATAAGGTCCTTCCTTTGAAGGGATGTACAGGTTATGTCTATGGATTTTCTAGCTAATTTGTCGAGGGTGCGACACGCAACGCGTGCAACCTTCCACCTCCGTGATTCAGGATGTTCAGGGATGAATTTGCGTCGCGCGTCGATTAAAACGATGGGGAGAATTCACTTTTAAGGGATGCCGACGGCATAGTCAATCGGTTACGCTGCCGGAAAGAAAATGTCTCTGCGCCTCTCCCTGGGCGCGCTCTACCCACGGCGGCTGCCCGCGAATTTGTTGATGAGGAGGGATCGACACATGCCGTCGGCAGCCCTTTAAAGGGACCGGCAAGGCATGTATTCTATGGATTTTTGCCGCCTTTACCGTTCCATTGCGTAATACATTACAAGTCGTAATTTAAGAGCCCTGAAACGCAGCTGAATGTTCTTGCACGCTGCATGTCGCGGGGCGGACTCCTAGTACCATGCGTCCGCGTTGCGTATCGCGGCAAAGTCCATAGAAATACCTTGCCCGTCCCTTTAATGATATACTCGAACCCTATCTCCCGACCAAAAAGCAAAAAGTTTGTTGCGGACCAGGATCAGTTTCCGGATATCGCGGCTGATAATGAATAACGTCACCAATTAGCCATGTCGATTTTGGCATGCCCGCAGCACGCAACGCGTCTATCGAAGAAGCGGTAGGCGTCGCGTGTCCCGCCCGCGATAAAATACAGAAAATACGTAGCAAAAAAAATAAATCTTCGACATGCCATCCCTTTAAAGAGAACGCTTCAACCAAAAATCCTGTATTTTCTCTGTATTACTGTACCCTCTTGGCTGTACCTATCGATTTTATGGACTTATCATACCGTAATCTTTTGGAGTAACTTCTTGTCACTCCCCACGCCCCTCTACCTCCTCTCCAACACAGTCCCCCGCCTTCCTCGACAATGGCATTGTCGGTAGCTCCCTTTCTTTCCGTCACGTTGGTCTCATACGATGAACTACACGGGGCACCCAAGAGGACTTTTAACGTCCACCGGCCCATCAATCAACGCCCAAATTTACACAGAAATTATCCCGCTTTTTGCACGGTACTCATTTTCCAGGCACACCCCGGGTAATGTGTTGTGCCGAGGCCGACCTCGGACTCGACATCTTCACCAAGGCTCCATTCAGGGAAATATATTTGTCAAGGTATGAGTGTCATTACAGTATTTTATCAAGAACGCTAAAAAATATAATTATGGACGTAATAAGAAAAAACTGAAAATAAAGTTTAGCAAAACTCTAGCAAAATCGCTATAAACTATTGCTGTTGAAACAGATTTAAGAACAAAAAAATAAACACATTTAGGGGGTAATTCTAAAGGATTTTACATATTTTAGCAAAATTTCGGTGAAAAAAATAGTATATTCAAAATTTCAAAGCCAAAAAGGCAGTATTACAATGGTATTTTGATTCTTAATAAACTGCAATTCGAATTGCATTAGCTTCTTCGTGAAAAGAGTGAAATTTGGAAAATTTGACGAGTTCATCGCAATTCTCGCAAAATTCTGAGGATTTGCATCTTTTAATCGCAAAAATTTGTACAGAAATGGCTGAGCTGGGTGCGGTTTAATCGGTGGTCCAAAAGCTTCGCTTTTCATGGACTTTTTGAAAATTAAACTCCCATTTCTGGACTTTTTTTGACGGTTTATATATACCAGAGTTATTCCTCAATCTCCTACGAACTTCCTAGTCGTTAAAACATTAAAAATCCATCCATTTCCCGGGGCGCGCCGAGGAAAAAGCTACCTTTAATCTTTACGCTGATGGATCAAACTACACATATTCATTACCCATAGGCTAATGCGGAATGCGCGCAGTTGCGATCGGTAAGTAAGGACTCTGCATTTCATCAAAAAGCAAAAAATACGCCGCGCGGTGGTCGAACCCGAGGTGTCGAGATCGTAAAGTAGTGGAAAACGTTTGAACTATCCTCAATTTTCCAGGCAAACCCACGCGGGATCCACTTCTCGGTGACCGTCATCGTCTCCTTCCACCCATCAGGCTTCATCACCATAATGATAGAGCCTTTCACGTCGAAGTGTTTTTACCTGGGGACCCGAAGAGGTTGTAACATCGCATATGGAAGTCAAGTGAGTAAATCAGTTCGTGATTTCATTACAGAACTTCACGATTTATTTCTAGTAGTTTAGTTAGTCGTAGATACGATACACAACTTTGATAAAGCGTAGTTTCACGCGCAGCGGCTGGCGTTACGGTCAAGGGCAGAGAATTACATGGCGTGTACCCGCGCAATTTCGTTTTTTGCTATAGAATTCTATTCTATGTTTTTAGTAGTGTCTATACGTGCCCAAGATACACATTGTCAAAAAAAAAATTCGTGCAAAAAGTGTCGTAAAATCGTCTTTCTACCCGTTCCAAACGATTGAACACTCCAACCCGTCCCTCAACTTCCGGACCGTCTTTTTTAGCCATCTACCAACCACTGAAATAGCCGATGACATGCCGATGCCCACATGCGACTACTCTGTGCGACGAGACGGACCCCACGGCCCCTGTTCTATCTTTGCAAATGTAAATGGGAGAAACGGTGGAAAGCCGACAAAAGGTCTTTACCAACGTTAAATCCGGATCTTCCACGTGTGAGAAGTGCAAAGAAGGGCTGAGATGGGGATGCTCGTCAAGAAATGCGCCGTCAATGATGGGGATGGTGATGAACGTAAAATCATCAATCCCGAGGGTAAAACTTTATCAGTATGTAGCTTCCATGAAAGCTTTTATGGTTTGAAAGAGGAAAAGCGGAAAAGGTATTCTATTTTCGATTCTAAGGTTAACGATCCCAAAAAACCTGCCAAACTAAAAACACAGAAATCAAAGTAATAAGGAATATAAAATTAGACGATCTATCGAGTTTTATTTTGCTTTAGTGAGCTTCTTTGTAGCCAAAAAATGGAAAAGAAAAGGGGGTTTTATTCTGTGTTTTACGATTGCTTTATGGTCCTGAAAACTATATAAAACTACAAAAAATACAAACAAGTATAATAAAAATGAGGCAACTAGATCGTGTTCAACCGATGAGTGGCCTACTATCGGACCACTCTATGACATCAACCTCATGAGAGCCCACGCAACGAGCCAAGTAAGCAAGCTTTTTCGTGTAAAACTACCAAAAATGTAAGGTCTTCAAATACGCCGACTCAAACCAACTATACTTCACACTGCCAAATCCGTCTATGCCAAAAGACGATGGTGGGCAACTGCCAGGGGGTCATGGTAAATTTGAAAAACAAGGCCAAAAAAAACACCAAACCCGCTCTAGCCCCCAAAATGCGGCCCCGAAGAAGCGCCATCCAATCGAACGCGTCGTGAAGCCGCAGATTTGTTGCTGCGAAACTATGGAGGCATCCACAAAATCGAGAAACCATTACCACAATATGCAATGTTGCCAGCTTGATGTGGCGACGCGCAGCCAGCTGTGACTTCCGACCCCGAAGACGCTACCGCCGACTCCGAGGTCAACACCCCGGCCTCTTCTGCGTCCCCTCACTAAATCCCCCCCTTCATCCCGGCCGGCTGATCGCGCTCATTGTGCTCGGTTCCGGTTTTCCACATTTTCTTCCGGAAACCAAAGTCAGAAAAGGATCTCAATTAAACGGATTTGTTTGTCGGGGTGGTCGATAATAAACACAGCATTACGAAATGCACATAGAATTGACATCTGCCTGAAATGCAACTCGCCTGGATTTGCTTTGTGTCAAGGACTTTGAAATACGAAGTGTAGAAGTTTATTAGGTAACAGTGTTCATTGTAGTCCTACGTTGTTGGGAGTGACTACGAGGCGCTTCTATGAACTCGTACAATCTCTACCCTAATAGGAATCGAAGATTACTTTTTCTTTTTCGAAAAAATCTCTCGTTGCTCTTTCCCTTTAGCTAAAGAGAGATAAATTTACGGGAAGGTCAGAGTAGGTAAGGTGTTCATTGTACTCCGGCGTTGGCAACACCGTGGCACTCCAGTGAACGCTCAACGCTTTGCATGAATAGCAACTGCCGCGTGGCTTGTCTTTTTAGCCTAGCGACCCTCGACCGTTCCCGTTTGTTCCCTTTAGCTAAAAGAATATAATTTTAGATGAAATTAAATCGTTATTCGACCCTACAAAGCAACATGTTTTGCATAATCTTCTTTATTTCGTTTTAAAGGTGGCGGCACCACTAGAAAATTTAGAATTTTGTCAGCAAACCGGTCAAGCTGAAAACGTTCAAAGTGAATTTTAAGTCTAGTCTACTTTTCACTAAATTATCCACACCATTTCACGCGTACGACGAGCTGGTAGAGGGTAACCAACACTGCATATGGAGGGCGGAGAGGGGCTCTCTGTCTTTCTTTCTGCCATGGCCTTACGCGCGGGATATCGGATTTTTCGCCTTCTGCCTACCGATTCCACGGAGGTCGCTCGCCTTTAGGCGCATTTTCATACAAGAATTGTTTCTTCATTTCGATGATTACAATTCTATAGTATCGTATCTTTCAAAAGATTTGTTCAAAATCCAGCATATAAATACTTTGCCGTTGCAAATTTACTATGGTCACGGCGATTCAGAAGCCGATCCATTGAATCCGAAAATCTATCACGTTTCGTTTTTCAGATGTCGGGAATTTTGATTGACGACATGTTCACAGTGAAAGACGTCGATCCCGATGGGGAGAAGTTTGATCGCGTCCTGCCGGCTCTTCTGCGATTCAGAAACGATGCGGTATTTGCATTTTACTAAAGAAAATATGGTTTTACTTTAGAATGAACCTAATCTTGGATGTCAACACGCAGATGTATCCCGTGGATCTGAACGAGCAGTTTCGACTTGTGCTAGCAACCACATTGAGAGAAGACGGCGGTGCCGAGGAAGGTGTCTATGATCAACAGGTGATTTTCTTAACTTATTCTCTATTTTTTTTTCAGGCTGAATCCACGAGAGCAGCGCAGTTTGAATACGTGATGTACGGCAAAATCTACCGAATTGAAGGCGGCGAAGCCGGCCACGATAAGGACAGCCAAAATCTCGACGTCTATGCATCATTTGGAGGTGAATACAGAAAGTTTAACGGAGTTTGCATTTATTTGGCTACTGCCAGATAGTAAAAGTTTTCCAAATGCAATCGAAAAAGTTTTCGTTTTTCCAGGGCTCTTGATGCGGCTTCGCGGCGACGCCTTCAACCTGCAAGAATTCGAATTGGACAAGTACATCTACCTCCTTATGAAGAAGAGCAGTTTTTGAGTTTTGATTTGTGTACACGTTGTTTCATTTTTGTTATTGACGGTTGATTTTGAGACTATGCATAAACGGATTGAAATTTTATGCGTTTTTCGGGACTGGATTTGCCATCAAACGTGCTTGAATGAATTGAAGAAAAGAATTTAACCCATATTCAGGGCATGAATAATGTGGAGGTGGTGGAACTATCCGATGACGAAGCCCCGGTCACTAGCACTACAAAGGCCCACGTCGAAGTGAGCGTCCTCGAGCCCATCGACCTCGCATTGCTATTGCAGCGTGGGGGCACTGGTAAGAAATCAGCCGTAACCCATAAATTCTTTAGGCGTGAATCTCGCAAGAGCTCAGTCTGCCCTTGTAAGGCCACCCTACCAACTGCCAGTCGCAGTTCACAAAAACGGCGCCGTCCCGATCAAGCGACCATTGCCAAACGGAAATATCCCTTCGTAAGGCTTTAATCTTTGAGCTTAAATCTTTTCAGGCATATAAAATTGCCGGATCGGGTCGATAAAGCGCGCCTGGATAGATATAAACTCGTCGCGACAGGGCGCTATGATCGGGGCTATGAAGTCGACGGAATCACATTTAAGGTATATCCAAAATACCTAGAAATTATAAAAATTATGTTTAGTGGTACGTACATGGACTGCAACAAATTAATATACGGCAACGGCCACATGATCTGTCATTTATGGGCGCATTTCAGTGGGTTTTTGAAATAGTGAAAAACTGTGATTCAGATGAGGCCACGCCGTTCGAGCGACTATCGAGACCGTTGTCCCATCACCGAATGCTCGCAAAGCGAGGCTTGGCCGATGTGGAAACACTAACACGATGCACCCAGTGTCGTCATGCTTTCAAAAGCCCTTATGACTTACAGGTAAATTCATGCCCAAGCTAACAACGCTGAATTTAGTGTCATTATACTCGTACTCACTCCCGCGTCCCAGAATCGACAAATGAATCCAACTGCGCTATCTGTGAAACAGAACAGATGGATTTGCGAGGTCATCTTAGCCAACACCGAATCAATGTATGTTTCTTAGATGCTTGGGGTTGTTTAGTAAAAACCAATTGTCGTGCTAGAAGGGTAAGCTCTCCGCGATCAAAATCTATAAAAAGCTACGTTTTCCAGGATTCCCCCTACGTGTGCAAGGTCCGTTCGTGCGAATTTCGGGCGTCGCAGAGAATGAACTTGTTCGACCATTATTCCCAGGTTTTGGCATTTTCAGGACGAAGTTACATGCCTTATTGCAGATGCACCGGGATACCACATTGCTCTGGTGCCCGTTCTGCCCCTACGTCGAATATATTTCTCGGAGCCAGCTGCAGCACAAGCAAAGATGCCATCCATTGCCGATCGCTCATTGACCATTTTATGAAGCATGTCCAGGGTAACTGCAGAATTCCGCCTTTTCACCCTCAATTACAGTTGGGCAGACGTATCGTTGCCGCCTGTGCGCCTACGCTTTTCTAACACGCACTGAATTGCACGCACATCAACATGCTGACCATACGGGCGTGATACCGCCAAGTTGGAACGTCAAAGCGGTAAGATTTCCTTTAAAAATTAGCTATAAACGCGAATTTAGACCAAAAACGCATGGCAAACCTCCACTTCCAGCAAACTGCAAATACACCCCGAACAGAAGGTAAAAACCGTTTAATTATGTGACCTATCCCTTTTCAGAAGTTGAAAAACAAGTGCGTGATCTGTCAATGCCCTTGTGAACAGACGAAGTGCTCTTTCTGCCAGCAAAACTCGAGAGAATTCTTCAAGAAGGGAATCCCACACGAATTCGAACGAGACGGGCTGAATAAGAAAAAGATTGGAAGGTGGGGTTTACCATAAATCTTATGAAGCAGGCAGCTTTAGAGTTCAACTGAAATGCGGGTGCAACTTTACAACTTACAACTCGGATTTGATGACTCACCACCGAGGGTCTTGCAAAAATACGAAGGCCGTCGTCTCTGTGGAACTCCCGCCAAGGTTTTATCATTATCTCCGATATATCCTGTTTTTTAGACCCGATGATGACCAACAACCAAGCGAAGCCGATTTCCGGGAAGCAAAGTTATTTGGAGTCCTCCCTAGAGAGGTTAGCATCTTCTCTGAGCCATAAAAGCTATTTTTTAGAATTGCGTCAGACGCGCCACTTATCAGAGCACAAGAAACGGAGAGGCTATGAAGAGAAGGAAATTGGCCGACATTCGCGAGGTCATCACCGACATTGACGACGACCATTTGCTGGTCACTAAGCAGGCGTTGGTGTAAGTCGAATTTGGTCTATACTTATCCGCTTTTTTAGACGTGCTCGCCACAACGACGTCGCAGCCAGCCTCGCCATATATCGCAAAATTTTTGGCACCTAACTATCTTGGCCCTATTTGATATATACTAATTATTTTCACCGTGCTTGCCATTTGCTCCCCCGCCCCCGAATGCCTTCTTTGTCTGTATGCATTGTTTGTTCAATCCGATCCTTTTGTATCCCTTATGTTCCCCGGAAGTCTCAGCAGGGGACCAGAGTCACGGGTGCTGTTTTCACACTTTCCAATGTTCTATTCAATGGATTTAGTACAATAAAGGCTTTCAACTAATGAATTACGCATACATTCCAGGCTAAAACACAGGACCATGACATTTCCGCCAACGGCCAACATGCTTGTGAAATAAGCTGTACAAGTCCGGACAAGTTTTTCTTGCTCGGATCTGGATATTACAGAAAAAAATAACAAAGATATGATGGTTTCTCTTGAACATCAGAATTTGCGCCGGAAAGGGTAAAATGCACTATATGATGCCTAAAACAGGCCTCCGGATCGTAATTTCTTCCCTACTAGCCTGTACGTTGGTTAATTCAATTTATTAGCACCAAAAACACAAAGAAAATATTTCATTTAGAAATTTTTGTATGTTTTTGGCCTCAAATTGGCGTAAATGTCACTGGCGGAGATGGCATGGTCCCCTAAAACACGGACCATCAGACCCGCGACACTCCAATTTACACGCGCGGTTACGGTATCCGCCCGTTCAATCGGGCAGCGGGGTGTTTTCATTTCAGTCTGGCCCCTCCTCGCACCCCTCTCTCTCCAATTTGGCTTATGCGATTTTTTTCGCCGGCGCCTTTCACCGCAGAGTAAGCCGCGCGTTCTCAAAACAACGATAAAGAAACCCCTTCTGAAATGTTCTGTTTGCGATTGTACAATGAGCCGTTTTCTTTTCCTTTCCACCACCGTTTTTCCTTGCCTTCCACCCCGTTTTTGCCTCTTGCGATTTTGGCCGCAGAGAAAACCGCGCCTTTTGAACGTTTTGAATTCGTGGGAGCTTTATCTAAAACCTTGCACTAAAACGGAATGGCAAAGCACTAAGCCTGAATCTACTCTCGATTACTATATCAGTTTTGATTTACCGTCCTCGTTCTGCCGTCTGATCCAATAGTGCCAAAGCTTACGCGAGCTTTAGCTTTTTTTTTACATCGATTGCCAGGCAATGCTTACGAGATTTTATCAACACTATTTATTTGAAATGTTTTTTTGAAGCTCCATTGGGTTCTCGATTCTCCGGCTAACTTTTGCATCTACCAAACTAGTCTTTTTTTTCTTCGATAATTCCACAAAAGCTGTTGATCATTTCCTTCCTTTATTACATTTGAACTTCAGCATGGTCGACGAAAAGCCTGCTGTGATCCCGCTCGTCGGGAAACTGGCTCCCGGTACGGGTGGTGTCCCGTTGAAGAACATCCTTGTGAATGCGTTCCAGCTTCGTGTGGGACCCAATGTCGCCATCTACAAATACACCGTTTACAGTAATTTTTTCAAGGTTATAAAAACTTTATTTTAGTAACCATACTGTTCAACGCGACCGGGAGGCCGTACGAAGTCACAAAGATTCTGCGTGAAGAGTTAGTTTTTGTCGGTTTTTTAAAATCGATTATTTTAGTTTCGGGGAAACCGAAAGGAAGAAGCTTCAGCGGCTGATCCTCGCGTTGTTGTTCGAGAAGAAGGCCGAATGTTTTCCGAGGAATTTTGCAAACCGCCACGTTTCCGACTGCGCGGCTTCGATTTATTCGCAAGAGAAAGTCAAGATCCCAAATGAGGTATAACTTAAATTGTCTTTTTTCTACTCTTTTTTTTAGGAAGAAGGTCTCGTCTTCTCCTTTTCCAACGAGGACATCAAGCACTTGCCAAGGTGCACAAATGCTGTGAAGATCGACATTACGTTCAAGCAATGCAAAGACAAGTTCCAGGTATATTCATTGAAGGTGTTACACTTCGGGTTTAGTGTTCCTCCAGCACTCCTGACAATCTATTCATGGAATACGCCAACATTGCCGTGTCTCACCAGATCTCTGCTGACCTGTAACATTTGAATTTGTAACTTACGTCTTTTTAGGGAGACCTTCCTGATCTCGAAGAACGAAATCTTGGTCGTCGACACCAACAATACGCAGTTCACACAGGCAGAAGCGCCCGACGTTACCGGGAACGCCATCGTGCGTTTATAATGAGTATCTTACCTTCTATTCTTTAGGCGGTGCCGGCTATCAAGAAGAGTGTCAAGCTCATCGACGCGAAGCGTGAGGGACAAGCCAAGCTGCAAATGCAACAGAACAAGGGCCATCTTCAACAGTCTGGCAAGCCATCGCCCAGCTTCTCCCTGATCGTCGACATCTCCAAACACCCGATGCACATGGCCACCGACCTCTCCCAGAAGATCGAGGCCATCTGGATGGGCCAGGGTGGCCAACGCGGCGGACGCTTCGATATCTTGCAGGCCATCCGATCGCCTGTGGTCCAGGCAGCTCTGAAACGTACGTTCTTAACCCTTTTCCCGGATCCGACCTTGTTGCAGATCTTGAAGTGGTTCCCACTCATCGCCCTGACGCTCGTTCATTCACGATCGGAAGTTTTGCTGGAAGCGCCAATGAGGTCAAGTTGCAGGGCGAGCCCACGACTATCGCCCAATTTTTCAAAGATCGTTATCGCATCAACCTCAAGTTTGTTATTACCATATGAAACGCCTTTCTTTTAGGCATCCGAACTGGCCGCTGGTGCGTGATCGTCGGGACAGCTTCTTCCCGATCGAACTTCTCGCCGTTTGCCCGCATCAGAAAGTTCGCAAGCAGCAAGAATACCCACAGCAGAGTGAGAGGATCCTGAAGGTAATTTCGTAATTTATTCTCTTACATTTTACTTAGGCCTCCGCTCTTGCTCCCATCGAGCGCGCTAAGCAAATTCAGAAGGGCCTGAATGCACTGAATTTGACGGGTCCTGATTTCACAGACAAGACTGGCTTCCATTGGGATCGCAGGAGCTGATGAAGGTACGGTGTATCACTTTTCATAATTTTCTTTAGCTCACCACGGCCCGCACCCTGGCTCAACCGCAAATCATCTACGGCGGGCAGAAAGGAGAAAACCCGGATGCTTCTGGACGTTGGCGCCTTGAGCGAAACAAGTATTTCGGCCCCGCCAAACCTGTTGCGAAGTGGGAGGTGTGGGGTCTCGTGGAGCAGCACAACTTGTCGCACGTCGGGTAATTAATCATTTACTTTTCAAATCCTTCATAGTGATTTTGTCAATCAACTCGTGACACGTGGCGCAGCTCGCGGTCTGGCACTCGATGATAAGCCTGTGAAGGTAAAGCCCTTGTTATTTTTATCTACAACCCTTTTTTAGCTCCATATTGGTCCCGAGGAGCTGGAGCAGAACATGATAGCCGCAAGGGAGGGGCTCGACAGTTCGTGATGGTGATTTCCAGAAGTACTACACGCCCACAGTAAGCTTCGGGACTGCAATATTTTAGTTTCCTTTTCAGAGGAATTGAAGTACTGGAGCTGAAGTACAACATTCCCACGCAAGAAGTGCTGATGAATGTCGCCCGCTCGGCCGTTCAAAGGCAACAGGGCGTCACCTTCGACAACATCTTGCTCAGACGAACATCAAGAACAAGGGGCTCAATCACGATGTCAAATTTCGTGAGGGACGCGTAAGGCTCTTCGCCCTTGATGTAATTCTTTTGTTTGGGATGCAGAAGCTGGTCAACAACAAGGAGCGCATCATTATCGGCATCGAGATGAGCCACACCACCTCTGGAGAGAAGGAAAATTCGGCTTCGGTCGTCAGCTGGTCTGCAAACTGCCTCAGCCATCCCGTCCTCTACACTGGCAATTTCATATAAATGCGCCCGCGAAACGAGGCACACCGTGATTTTGGTATACTGATCTGTATCCTCTTTAGCCGTGCCTCGATCCGGTGTTCAAACAGGTCATCATGCGGATGAAGAAGTATCGTCCGAAGCCAACGAAACTCGATTTCGATATCTATATTGGTGGAGTCTCTGAAGGGCAGATGGCCAGGGTAAATTTTTTGCCTTTAGCCAATGATTTTTCTTTCTAGGTTGCACCAACGCCGTCCAGAAACTTCGCGAAAATCTGCTACCGATGAAGATCGAGCACAACATTTCTGTGGTCGTCGTTTCGCTCGACCACGCGGAACGCTTCTTCATTGAGGTTTGTCTTGGTATTCTATCTCCATAGTCCCCTAGAACCCGCCGGCAAATGGAAAATGCTCCGAACAGAACGTTAGACCTGGGTTGATCGTCGATCAGGAAGTGACCCACCCGAGCCGATCCGAGTTCTTCCTATCGGCCTGCATGCCCCTTCAGGTATAATTACACGCATCGTCGCAAAATATTTTTCTAGGGGAACCATCAAAGTGCCGAAGTACACTATCTGCGTCGACACGTCTACAGGAGCGGACGATGGCAGACTTCCAAATGCAAGCCTACGGTCTCTGCCACTTGCATCAGTACAACACGGCTAATACTCCCATCCCGACGCCCTCTACTGTGCCAGGGACTAGTGCCCAGCGCGGAATGGACGTGCTCAAGTACATCGTGGAAAGGTAAGACAAATCTCTATACTTTTAATGCAAGCTTTCAGGGATCTGCCAACCCGAAGAGTTGGGACCGGGAATTGCCTCAACCAGGTCACCTACCAGCAGACTACCCTGGACCCAACGCCCGCATGGCCTGATCGTTCCTGCTCTACCTAATACAACCTAATGTTTATTTTATTGTACATCACCCTTATTTTATTCTTGTGATGCCTCTATGCCCCCACAATAATTCTTGCCCGGTTGGCGTTTTTTAAGTTCGGCACAAAGTGCCTTGATTTTTCCGACTATATCTGACGTGTATTCTTTTGCCCCTGTGAATAAATGTGTTTTTGGCAAAAGGCGTTTTGGAAAAGAAACACGAAATGGTTGGGCATCCTGCGAAAAACTGAGTATTTCCAAGCTAACTGTGGGAGAGCGGGGTAGTACGGGGCGCTGCCATGGGCGGGCTGAATGCGTGCAGAGAGGCGTAGCCGATTGGTAACGCGCGGCTGAAAGGTTTTGATATGTCGGTTCGACCCTTTCCTCCGGTTTTCGAATTATATTTATTGAACTGGGATTTGTTGATAGCGCAACATCACTGCAACCGATTCACTTTCCTACATTTTGGCGGCAGCCATAATTCATCCCCTATTTTCGTTATAAAACTTCACATTAACGAAGATACTTTTAGACTTGGCTCTAATCACGGTAAATGTCGAGACGTGTGTTGCTGAAGGCTGCATTCAAGGATGTAAAGGATGTACAACCCTATGGGTGCGTCTCTTTGTGCATTATGATCCGAAGAATTTGAGGTTCTTATCAAAGTTTATCTCTTTGAAGGCATGGTGAAGCAGGAGCCCGGTGACCTCTCAATCTGGCTTCACCGGCGAGGAAAAATTGAACCTGAAACGGCGACCGACGAAGAGTGCTACAATCAGTATTTGCTGCTACGGGTATCAAGTTTTATAGGCAGCCAAATTTAAGTGTTTTAGTCAAATGCTGTGCTGCTTGCCTACTTTCCGAGGCGTTGGGAGCAATCAAGCTGACGAATGCGGCTTTTTTAACTATTGTAGTGAGTTTTTTTGCACGGATTCTTTGACTTTTTAGTCTGTTTATTTTTCTAATTCCATTTTTAGGTTCTGTAACTGGCGTCCCGTTGAAGTGTCTGGACTGCGAGCGCCCCTTTCCCGAAAGCAAGACGGTGGTGGAACATGCAAAACTGTGGGTTTATTTATTACTTCAGACGTTTAGTATTGCTTTTTCTGGAAAAAAACATTAAATTTCAGCTGCAAGGGCACCTTAAGAGGACGATAAAGAAGAGTTCATCCCCAGTCACCCCAAAGAAAGTGCCTCGTCGTGGCGGCCGCAGATCTTATAAGCCTGGTCCTCTCCATTACAGAGTTCGAGGTAGCTGCCCTTTACAGCCTTAATTTCCATTTAGAAACGCCCTATCTGTTCGTCCTCTTGACGCCACAACTCCAGAATAATCTAGACGAAGGAGATCCTAGCATTGGAGCATGGTGAGAAAATTACAACTTTAGTAAAACTTATTTTAGTGATTACCTGCCCGGGTTGCGGTGCGACTTACGAGGAAGCGGGGCTGGTGCTGCTCATCTCGGCCTTTTGCCTGGCCCCACAGAGCAGTCATGATCGCTATAAGGGTCGGCTGAGTGATCTACAATCGTTGCCCGATCGTGAGTTTCGCAGAATAGTCAGAGGCACTGTGACCCAGTCGATGAAGGTATTTATTACAGCAATTCTCCGAATTACAGTACTTTTTAGATCGTCTGTCACGCTTGCGGCAAAGTGATCACGACGCCATACGGTGCCGAATACCACGTCCTACCGCTGTGGCCGTAACCCTGAAGTAATCCATTTTTTTCTGAGTTGGAGATTTCTTTAGGACCGACCTTGGAACATGTCATTATTGCGGTTTTGCCTCGACCCAATCGCTATCGAAGTAAGGCTTTTTATATTTGTTAACCTCTTTTTTTTTTTGTCCAGGCAACACTTGGATGTAGAATGCGAGGAGCGGCGAAAGCTATGAATTCCGAGGGACGCACATTTGTCAAAGGTGAAGCGTACGGTTTTAGGGTCCTAAAAATCTTCTTTTTAGTGAAAGCGAGGAAGAGGAGGAGGAGGAAGAGCCGGCCCTGGAACCCGAACCCGGAGCCCCAACCCGAAGAAATATACGTCGGCGAGGCAAGGCCCAAACGAGTGCCGAAACGAAGGGTATTTGGAAGCAGATATATTTTTAATAGCTTGGTTTTTAGAGAGCAGATGCTGATGGCGACCACAACTTGATCCAGATTTTCATCCTACGGCTACGGCTGGAAATAGCCATTGGGGTAGTTTCACTTAGAAATCTACTTAATTAAATCAATATTTAGGGAAACAAGGAGATTAACAAGTGTCTTGACGGCTATAGGATCAAGGAAAAGATGAATGCATGGAAAGGTGAGAATTATTTTTTTATAAATAATATCTTTCTATAGTTGGTTAAACACCGTGAAATGCCGTCGATCTCTGGTGGGCTAATACCCGGAAAGAGCTCCGAGTCTCCGTCGGAAGGGTGGTACGCTGCGATTCAAATTTCGGAAATTGACGTGACTGGTGGGTTGTGATTTTTGTATCAAAAGCAACAAACTTTTCTTCGTATTTCTGTAAAATACATTTTTCCAGAAACTGTCCCAAATCAAGCTGATCTCGGCCGCTACCAAAGAGCAATCTGGGAATGTCAACGGGCTTGGGAAGAGGAGGTAATTTTTGTGTTAGAATGTTTTTGTGTTTGTTAAAACAAAATGTACGCCTTGTTTAGGTGATGAACAGCCCGTTCACAAATCCCCTACTCGAAATCCCGACTGTCAGCTGGGTAGAGGTGCCGGATAGGTATTTTTGTGTTCTAAAAAGTATGTTTTTTTCTAGCGAATACATCGCCTCGCTCCGCGCCAAGGAAAGCATCGGCATTCGACGCGGGAAAATCCCGGCCACCCCGAGAAAGCCGCCGCCGGAGAAGAAGGATCGGCTGAAGGGACCGCCGGTTTGTTGGAAAATTATTTTTACGCGGGATGGATCTAGGCTTGCGGCAGGATAAAGGCTCTACCACCCACTGAGCTACCACACGATCTTTCGAGGGTCAAATTTGGGGAGAACTTGATGATCGGCAGGGAAGGGGAGCAAGAGCAGGTAGTTTTACGAATCTAGGGAAATCCTGAATTTTAGGAGAATCACGACGAGAATAACCCGGTGACCGATTGGGCATCAGCCAGCTACGTGGGCGGCCCGGTGAACAGCGCCGATTTTTCGGCAACAATTAGATTGGATGGTACATTGGTTTTTCTTATGAAAAACTTGTTTTTAGGAAGTAGCGTGCTCGCCTTGTCCGTCTACCCAGATGACTCTACCCTAACCGGAAGTGGAAATGGCTGGAGAAGCGGTGACGGCTACTTTCAGATTTGGAACGTCATCAGGGTATCGGAGAAGTAACTGATTTTCCCCCCCTTCTTTACCCAGATTGTTCTTAGAAAACCCGCCCTCCGCCCCTGTTGCATGGTGCAGATCAAGGGCCACGGCATGGTGATGAAGCTGAAATGGTGCGCGAAACCCTGCAACACCCCCGAAAAAGGTATTAGAAGCGCTGGAGCGGAAAACGTTCAATTTGTTAAGATATTGACGCTATCGGCTACCTGGCTGTGGCCACGGCCAGCGGAAAGGTGTTGATCTACCGGCTGGCGGACGGGGTATGCAAATCCGTGGAGGGCAAGTTCCCGTTGTACGCGCCGAAGCCGAACATTGTGTTGTGTCAACAGGATTCTCCCGAATGGACGGAGGGATCGACTGTAAGCCTTTTTTTAAGAATCTAACTATTCTGATTTAGCCCCTCGGTGTGCCGCCCATAATCTCGTTGGACTGGACGTTTTCCCAGGGCGGTGATTTGATTGCGGCTGTCAACGCTGCAGGTATATTCGTATTTGTTATTGGTTTAAATGATGGTTTTCGGTCTTAAGAGCATGAATTATCAGGTTGGAAAGAAAGTAATGGCACAAAATCTGTAAACCGCTGTAAAAAATCCGCAGGAACGTCCGATTTGACAGTATGATATATGGTTTGGTAGATCTTCGGATGCTCTATCACGAGACGACCCTCAAAACGCACAAAAACTAATGTACGCGAAAATAAAGGACTCAGAAGTTTCGCAGAAAATTAGGTGAAAGCTTCCAAGCGATATATCTATGCATACAGGCATTTGCATACGATACTTTTAACACCAATCGATAGCCCTCGAGGAGTAGATATCGATAGATGTTGAGATCATCGAAATCGGACTCTGGATGGCCGAGATATGCGCCCTATAAATTTGGTCCACTTCTTAGAACTTTTCTCGAAATCCCATACATTTAGGCCTGCGCGAGCCAAAAACTGCTGCGTTTGCTTCAGATCCCGAACCAAAATCCAGAAAATGCATTGATTTTGGAAGGCCCATATCTTGGCCATCCAGTGTCCGATTTTCATGATCTCAACATCTATCGATATCTACTCCTCAAGGGCTATCGATTGGTGTTAAGTATCGTACGCAAACGCCTGTATGCAGAGATATGTCGCTTGGAAGCTTTCACCTAATTTTCTGCGAAACTTCCGAGGCCTGTATCTTCGCGTCCGTCAGTTTTTGTGCGTTTTGAGGGTCGTCTCGTGATAGAGCCTCCGAAGATCTACCAAACCATATAACAAACTTTCAAAACGGACGTTCCTGCGGGTTTTTACAGCGGTTTAAAGATTTTGTGCCATTACTTTCTTTCCAACCTGATACAATCCGAAAATAAAACGAAAACAATTTTATTTCGTCTTTCACAGAGCTTTTTGTCGATACCTGATCAAAATCTGACACGTCTCCGAGCCGTTCAGACTGAATACTTTTCGGTCGCCTTTTAGTAGCTGATCATTTCCATTCCAGGCGCGATCGTCTTCTGGGAGCTGTCGAAGAAGGAGTACGTGACGGATGAAGGGCTGCTCGGGGCTGAGATGATAGCCGATACATGGAGCTCGCCGGCTGTTGACGCGTGTTGGAATAGTGACCGGACTCGTGAGTACTTTGCTAACTTATTGACGTTCTTACGTACTTTTATAATTTATCTACTGCTCTTTTTAGTCGCCGTCTCGTTCCGCGAGCGCACGATCCGGCTTTTGGACACAAAAAGTGGAGATTGCCTGCTGGAAGAAACTACGGTAAAAGAAATACGGCACTCTTTTTGAGGATCAATTTTAGGTCCGAACTGCCGGCGCGAAAGCTGCAACCCAGCTTCGTCTGTTCCCCGGTGTCTTCATTTTCCAGGTCCGTTTAGATTTATCCCTCATTTTCATTTCTTTTCCAGGCCGAGCCCTTCGCCACGAACGATTCGACGTTTGCCGGTGTCTGCTATCTGGTGCCCGACCAAAAGAATGATGGATATTTCGTTGTGCCGCTTAGCAATCGGTAACTTTAATTTTTTTTGATTTTTGCAACTTTCTTTAGACATGAACTCCAAGTGTTTGATGTGGCTGCCTGTGCGACGAATGGGCTTCTCGTTTCCTGTGGCGTTGATGGTGGGAATTTTGGATCTTTCGCAATATCAGGGGTGAAGCAAGCTTTTGAAAATCAATCCCATTTTTAATATAAACAAATTAAGCATTTCTCTGCTTTTCCTACCATTCATATGCTCAAAAATATGCCTTTTAATTGAAATCTGTAAAAATATGCAGTCTTCACGACCAAAAATAGCCAATTTTCTCGTTTTTACTTTTAAACTTTTTAAGTAGCTTTTTACAATTATTTTATGGATTTTATTTTATTACCAAATTCAGGCGCGCTTCTCGTTTCTACAAATGGTCGATTGGCTCCCGCCTATGCAATGATGGACTTTACCTTCTCTGCCCAACGGAAGGCGCTACAATTGACGAGGTAGAACATCCTGACATTCTCTATATAGATTTTAGGTATCGAATTAATCTACCATCCAAAGAGCCTGGAATCGCACCCCCACTCCATGATACTCACGAAACAGCCCAACAGTACAGCTGGCTCGATGTTAACACCATTGAATGCGATCAAGTATGCAATATAACAAAAGCTGGATACCGTTTTAGGTACCAATGCACCACGGCACGGCTTCGTGCGGTGATCTACGACTGGAGAGCCTCCGAACGTCGTCGCGACGAGCTACGGCGACGACCCGGTGATGGTGACGGGCGGCCAGGCGGGCCTGCTCTTTTATGCTGCCATGTGCGCTGGCGATTTCCCTGGACGATGCACTCCATTTTAACAAGCTTTTTTAACTTTAATGCTTTGCGATTATCACTGTTCCAAAGTTATTCCTTTATTCATACCTGATTGTTGTTCTATTCATCGATATCTCCTCGTTGTTGCTACTTTACTTTAACACAAACGTTACATTAGTTGATAAATTAATAAAATATTCCAAAAATATTTTTACAGATTTTTAACGTTTTTTTAATGCTCCGCTATTTCCAGCCATCTTCATCGATTGCCATAATTCACCCCCTGACCTCGAGCGGGAGCGATCCAAGGAAACATGTGGGCTCGACGATCGTTTTGAGGCAGTATGTTTGTGTCTCTGTCCGTCTCTGTATGTCTGTTCCGTGTCTACAGTTTTGTCCTCTTACGGGACACACACCACAAGTGTAAGGTGGCTTGAGGAGAGAATAAGGCCGTCAAGGTTGGCCCTCCCTCCTAGTCGGTGGGTGGAAAAAGCCTGATGGAGGAGGAGAAAGAGGAGCTATATGGGCCTGAGGTAAGCATCTCGGTTGGGATAAGTGGATGGCGGAGGGGGTGGTAGTGGGAGACAGCGAAAAGAACTGGTAACAGGTTGAAAAAGGCGTAAAAAAGAGGCGTTCTAAAGTGACTGGAGGAGTTCTGGGTGTTTTCGAAGATCTCTAACGCTGAAAATTGTAAATGGAAAATTTTAGAAGCTCTGAAACGGAGTAAACCCCAAGGGGTACTGGTAACAGACCGAAAAAATACTCCAGAAAATCAGTAAAGTGACCGGCGACAAGTTCTTGATGTTCTAAAGCTACTGAAGCTTGGAGAAGCTAAAAATTGAAACTTTTAGACTTCTGAAAATCTGCGGAATTGCGTATGTATCATCAATCTATAAAGATCATCGCGTTTTTGACGCCCAACTACATAACGTCCTTTGCGTGTGTTTATCTGGTTAATTTTCCTTTTTCTTACATAGTGCCAGCGAGTGCGGCGCTTTTTATTAGGCCAAAAATTCGGCTCGGTACCGATATATAAGGGATTTCTGCCGATATAGGGATCACCGCCGATATAAGGGATCCACTGCCGATATAGAGGATCGGTGCCGATAAAGGGATCACTGCCGATATAAGGGATCGCTGCCGATAAAGGGATCACCGCCGATATAAGGGATCAGGAAAAAACCCGAAAATGGCGGGTACCGATATAGGGGATCACGAAACCGGATTTCGGGCAAAATGCCGATATAAGGGATCAGAAAGAAAGATTTTGCGCTGATATATTATTACATTGATGTAAAGAGCTATTTATTTAGGTCGATTTCGAAAGAAATTACAGAGAAGTTGATAAAACTAGAGTTTACGGAAGTATTATTCAATCTTCGGTAGACTAGACCCGACCTAAGCTTAAGCTGATTGGAACGCCGAAGAATTGATGGCAGAGGTCGTACTAAAGCAGATAGAGGTAAGGGATCGAAATAGCTGCATCTATCCGAGTTAGTCCATTGGGTTAAATACCAGATCAATAAGTCCTGGCAGAGGTTGACGCGGGAGTCGCAGAAAACTAAATAGGGTGGATGAGGGAAAGGGATAGGCGGAGGCACCACGATCACAAACTGGCAAAGGCATCGGATTGAACAATACTTCCGTAAAACATTGGTTTTTATCAACTTCTCTGTAATTTCTTTCGAAATCGACCTAAATAAACAGCTCTTTACATCAATGTAATAATATATCGCGCAAAATCTTTCTTCTGATCCCTTATATCGACATTTTGCCCGAAATCCGGTTTCGTGATCCCTTATATCGGTACCCGCCATTTCCGGGTTTTTTTCCGTTCCCTTATATCGGCGGTGATCCCTTTATCGGCGGCGATCCCGCCATGCTCGGCCCTGATCCCTTATATCGGCGGTCCGAGGCCCTGATCCCTTATATCGGCGGTGATCCTTATATCGGCAGAAATCCCTTATAT